TTGTTTCCCTAAACTCTCATTCCCATATACAGTGGCATTGGCTAGAAAGAGGACTGTTGCAAGATCTGGCTAATTGTGCTCGAGAGATAATACAAAATGCATCAACCTTTGGGTAAGCTCTTGGTGCTTAGGATTTCTAATTTCCAACCATGGTTCAGTTCACTACATTCTGTTCCTTGGGAAAAAAAATGTAGGGCCAGATACAAAAAAACCCCATTGTGTGGAGTCAAGTCCATGGTCCCAGTTGTACAGCTGATTTTTGTGCATGATTGACATGCACTTGCATATAATAGTTTTTTATAGTGCTGAAGATGCAAATTAGGTGTATAATTTCTGCACTTGTAGTTGTGGAATTAAAGACATAAATGCACCAATACAGTCCTCTTAATATATTGATTACATGCCATTCATTTGGAGTAACATGCAAAATTGAAATAGGGCTTAATCTCTTTTTTATGGATCTTATTCCCAGTTTAACTTCCTTTGGAATGGTGTTGATCTGCTACTACAAGAATCCTGGCCTTCCTATAATTGAATTGTCTCTTTTCAAAGACACAAAGAAAGCACTGTCCCTCATATCTGGTAGCTAACAGAGGCTTGCCAAAAAGGCAAAACTGTGAAAAGCTACACAAACCTCCGTATCTTAAATTAAAATTCAAATTCTAAAAAGTGAGCCACGAGAAAGATGATAACCTAAAATCAGGAGCAACAGCATGGAAAACAGTTAATCCCATTATCAAATATTAAGAAACCAATGCAAATAATAATTTAGTCCTAAACTGAAAATAAAATATAACCCATGAATTCTTATCTAGTTTAGGTTTTTTCATTTTAGTGTGTGGTGGTGTTTTTTGTTTTGTTTTGTTTTCCCCTTAATTTACATCACATTTTGGAGTAAAATGCATGCAAATGCTAAACAATCTGACTTTCTGGCTACGTAATATTGTTACAGTGATGTGACTTATACTGCAGATATGAATGGAGAGGCTAAAAAGTATGACAGTCTGCAATAACAGTGCTTGCTTGGATAAAGAAGATAGTGTTGAATGGTTTTAAACAGATGAGTAATATAGGAAAACACAGGCTAAAGATAAAGATCTCTTAGATCTTGTAGCACTGGAAATACTAGGAAATACTGCAGAGATACAACAGTAATGAATTTATAAAATATGTTTTGGCACACACAGACCTGCTGGCTTTACTCAGACATGGCACAGAATCACAACAGGAAGAATACACAGCACACTGATAGTGCTGAGACACTTGGGCAAAGGCAAAATACTGAAAGACTAGACACTGAGCTCCTTTTCCATGGAAATGCTATTATTGCACACAGGGCATCCAGTACCATACCCTGTGTGAATAGCTGTGACCTCTGACAGGTGAGCTGCAGGATCTCTTAGTCATCACTGGGCTACGAGGAGGCTTACCCATAACAAATATCCCTCTCTTTAAATTAGCCTGAAAAAACCAAAAAGCTGTGTCAAGTGAGAGTTTAAGAATGAAGCATCATGGGGTTTTTGTTGCTTCATTCATACATGCAAACTGGACATACTTTTGTTGATAACTAAAAGCAATTGCATTACAGGTGCAAATAAGGGTATTAGTATATTGCGTTTTCATTGTTGCCATTGTATCATTTTTCTAAGGGTTTGCTGCTCTGGCACATGCTCTTACATGTTACATTTAAAAGATTAATAATGTACAGTGTATGCAGTTGGAGTAAGAACAGTTATTGTAAGCTTAGCCACTGAAGTAGCTCAGTTAATAATATAGAAAATCTCAACAGCACAAAGCAGAAATACCATCTTAGAAATACAAATGACAAATGTTGCAATTCCTTGCTGTTAAACAGAACACAGACCTTAAATTTGCATTTAGAAAGCAAGTAAACACTTGATGGGTGCTACTGTAAGGAAAAATAATAGTTTTCTTAACGTCATTATAAATCAGCTAAATATTTGTCAGGATTCAGCTCTTTGGGGAGGGTGTGCAGCAAATGTGAATTCTCAGTGGCAGGGGTGAGTCGAGGGTATGTGAGAGGAGTGGAGTGCTGACATGGAAACCTTTCCTTTGGTATTTGTGATTGTAGATTGTAGTAAGACAGAAGAACATCCCTCTTTTAGGAGCTGAAAGGGTGAATAACAAACAAACAAAAAGGCATTTCTCCTTGGGAAGTGTCTTCAGAGTTCTTCCTTTGGAGGACACATCCCCTCCAACAACATAAATCAAAGTGTCACTTCCCACCCATAGCTCCTTGTATTTTACTGCCCAAATTCCTGGTCATGCTTCAGATTTGAGCCACATTTCAAATACACACACACACACACACACATATATGTGTATGTATTTTTACATCAACAAAAATTTACCAAAGTATCGGGCTACAATTTCAAGAACTCTCTGAGGAACTTCCCTTCACTTGTGATATTTGAGTCCTGGAAATCTCTCATGTTCATTCTGCTGTAGCAGTTGAGAGGAGACTTGAATAATGGACAATATACATGAAGAGAAGATAGGAAATGTCCTTCCTTCTCATGTCCAGCCTGTAGACTAAGTAGCAACAAATGATGACAGCCAAAATCCAGCTACACTTATTTTAATGTAACTCTATCCTGGCAATGTAGTCAGTGTTGACAGCTGGAAAACATTTGCTTATCCTTGGGAGGAAATAAATCTTTATCTTATTTTTGGAAATTTTGTGCA